AATAATAAATATATAACAACTACTAATAATATAATATACTATGCTATGCTAAAAATCTACTTTGTAACAATATATATATAATTTGAATATACATATAAAATTTAAATAAACAAATATATATATGCATATATATATACACATGTATACATATGTTAAAAAGATAATTGTAATTCATTAAATAGGACCCTTAAATCCTATTTAGATTTTGGATCTGTTGCCAGATGAATGATATCCTCAACTTCTGAAGTTAATATCTCATTCTCATCTTTATATATTTGTGCAATTTTATCAATCTCTTTTTTGATATTTCGATCCATGCATCTAAAAATTGGCCGAACTCTTCCAAAGAAGTTAATTTCAAAGTCTTGTCATTAATTGTTTCATCAAAAGCAAGATCTGCAGATTTATTGGGTTCTGCACATTCTTTACTCAATTCTTCATAATTTATATTTGGTTGATCATTATTTTCTATGTTGTATTCATCTTGAAAACTGGGTAGAAGTAATTCAACAGGGTCTGACTTGTGTGAATGTTCCCATGCGATAGAATCTTTTAATTTGCTCATATTAAGAGCCTTTTGTAACTAAATAAAAATTTATTTAGAAAAAAAAAAATTATAAAATTTATGGCTGTTTTCAAAATATCATAACAGATATATTCTAAATATGTTGAGTAGAATGAGATATATATTAATTAAGATATTCAAGCTATAATGTATTGAAATTATAATGCAAGATACCTTATTATTAACAAAATATGCCCCCTTAGGATAAAAGAACTAAACTAGATGAAAGACTAAATAATTCAAATTCTCACAAAAAGTAGTTATGTACTATTAAGATTATACAACTCACTCTCGTTATAGTAAAAATTCGATATAGTAAAGAATTTTGAATTACGGAATTATTAAACTTCAACTTGATATAGTGAAGTATATAGTATTCTCTCGATATAAGCTATAGTGAAGTTTTTTTTTCATCCTGACGACTTTACTATAACAAAAGTGAGTTGTAGTCAACTCTTTATTCCGAATAGTCTGTTCCTATATGCCAAAATTCAGTTACTATGTTGCTAATCTGAACTTGTAATAAAATTTACAAATGTTCTAAAGCTTTTTTACAAAGCTTATTAAGAGTTTGAAATTTTGAAGAGTTGACTGTATTGTTAAAAAACTTATCAAAATTAGCCATTATTATTAACTTTTATGTGTCTTAATATTTTAAAAACAGCTATAAAAAATAAATAAAAAATATAAAAAAAATTACAATTAATCGATTTCTTCAATTGGTTTGAAAAAAACTTATACAACTCCAAAGACACTCAACAGTGGCAGAATTAATACAAATTCTATACAATTGGCATGCTATTAATCTTAATTCATTTGTTGAAGACCTAGCATAATTTCAATAACTTAATATATCATTAAATTGGCTGTAAGTATTATCGTCAAATAGATAAGCTTTGTTAAAAAAATCATTAAATTCCCTTAAAATGCAAGTAGTTTTTTTTCCTGATCAAGCTTTGTAGTAATAAATCAGATATTTTTCAAATTTTGAATAATTAATTACTAATTGGTCTTTAAAGTAAGATAATCAATATTTAGGATGTAATAAGCATGCTAAAATAAGAAGAGGTTGTTCCCAGTTATTCCATCTTTTTTCTAATCTATTTAATATCTTTTCAGAAATTTGTAAGTTAGTATTATTATTCCAAAATTGAACTAAATATGCAAGACTATGCATAACATAGATTAATTTGGCATTATCGCATTGTAATCTATTTAGTATTTTATAATAAAGATATAGAATTTCCATGATTATTACTAGATTAGACCAAAATAAATCCAATCTGATGGTTTGAAAAATTTCAGGATGAATTGAGAGATTTTCATCAGATTTTTGTCGATTTTGGAAATAGGGTGGTTGAAAATTTATCATAAGAATCTAAAATAAAAATATATAAAAGCCTCAATTAACAATTAATATAATTTTTATTATTGATTCTTAAAGTAAAATTTTAAAAATGACTTGGTAACCTGGTTTTTAATTTTTAAAATTTTTAATTAAAGTTTCGAAAAATTTGATCTAACTAGACCAATTCATTAAATTTGTATAACCTTATTAATATACTTGTAATGCTTGCTTGGTTTTCAAAAGACTAGTAACAAGTAAATAGTAACTGTTCCATCTAGTTTCACTTAGAACTACTATATTATAATACTTCTTGTAGTTTATTTTTTGTTGATCATGTAATTGCCCAATAAAATATTTATTATTGGCATTATTAAAATACATGGCTAGCTAAATTGCTTTATCTATTGTGCTTTTTAAATTGGTTAATTCCTTAAAAACTTCACCTATGCATAGGTTTAATTGGTGGGCATAACAGGACAAGAATACAATATTTCTGTGAATAGGCCTTAATCTTTGTCTAATAATAATAATAATAATATATATAATTAAATTATAAGCTAATATAAATCAGAAGAAAAATGAAAATACCTAGCCACAGTGTATGGCCTTGCACTATCTGTTACAATTGCGATGATCTTTACATTTATTCTTTTTAACTTATTAATCATTTCTTCTGTTTTTTTTATTACTTTAGTGTAACTTTCTCTCTTCATACTAATATCTATCACCTTCCAAATATAGGGTTTCTTTACTGAAATTACTAACATTGTACCTATTAATTGTTCATTATTGACATTCGTCCACCTATTGAACATTAAAGTAACACCAATTGAATCTTTTTGAAGAGCTTCAAACATTCCCTTATCATATTCAAAAACTGCCACCTCTAAAGTTGATCCACTAAGAGTTTGGTGATCTGGAAGCTTTATAAGAGGGTTTAAAAAATCAAACAACTCACTTGTTTCAGGCTTGTTTATCCAATTAAAAGCCCAACAGCAAGATACTGTTAGTCTTAGCAAAAGAACTTTAAATTTTTCATAGTCTTGTTGTGACAATGGATGAACAGAATAGTTGTCAAGTAGGCCAAAAGAAGTAGATTGTACAATGCCCTTTTGGGTAGATGATTGTGATAAGGTAGACATGGTATCATATGAACCTAGAGAAATTGAGCATATTAATATATATTTCACACTGCTTAAAAAGACTTTTTTTCTATTCATACTTGATTGTTCATTATTGGATAAGTTAAAGACTTTTTCTCTCTCTTCAGGTGTTGTTTGTCCTGTAAAATGTATACATTTTTTGAGGTGCACAATTATCCTATCCATTTTATTTGAAACAAAAACTTCCATCCCATCATCACCTAATACATTAATACATGCCTTACAGTAAACTTTATGGTTACTTTTATTAATCTTTTCTTTGGTTTTAATTATGTATCGTTCTAACAATTCAGGTATTAGTAACATTACTATTTTACTGTTTTTTTTTAGCTAGCAACTGTTTTTTGTTTTTTTTTTTAAAAAAAAATTTTTTTAGCACCAGATACAGGTTCAGCAGAATATAATAGACTTTGGTATGTTTATAAGATTGGTTTTGTTATTAATAAATATTTGGCATCGTATTTAATAAAAAAAAATGTAAAATAGATTTTAGGTTATTTATTAAAAAAATTTCAAACTTTGTAAGAGAAAGGCAAACTTCATGAAAAACAGATAAGGACTTTAGCTTTGCATTATATGCTACATGCATTATCAGCTCATTTGACTCTATTCATTAATTAGGTTTTATGCATTATCATTTATTCTTGACTCTATTCATTAATCAAGTTTATGCATTATCAGCTCATTTGACTTTGTTTATTAAACAGGTTTTATACATTATTGTTATTTTATTTCAGAGCCTCTGATGTTTTTTTGTAGCATCTAAAATAGTGCTATTTTTTAGCAAAATAGCTATCAGCAATTGTTTTGTGCTAAGATGCGAAATTTGCTACTTTTGCACTAAACATGAGATTATTACCTTTGTTCTTGAACTAATTTATATAAATAAGTAATTATATGCATATTTTAGATAATAACTGAAGAATTCACTGAAATGATAGATGAAGAACTCGCAGAAGAAAAATATGATTGCATTAAATTTATACTTAATAAAGATAAGCTAGTTTGCTAAATTTGCTAATTTCACTAGCTATTTTTGCTAACTATTTTTGCTATCAGCATCTGGGGGCCCTGATCTCAATACTGTATATGTATAACATACTGGTACTACATTAATATTCTTTTTTATATAGAACTTTGGCTGCTTTTTTTAGGACTTAATTAGAACTTAAGTCTTACAGTTTAGCTTTGATTGGAAATTTGATCTTACACAAATTTCAAATAATTATAGAAAAGATATATATCAGGGCTTAAAATCCTATAGTAATTTGCCAGCCTGCAGCCTATTGTTGAATGTTTTTCTTGATTCATCTTATTGTTTACTATGTATTTTAAATGGCCGACATTTTAATATAGTCTTTTAAGTCCTGTTATATACTTTATACACAATAAAATTTTTGTTTGTTAAATAAATATATTTATCACAAAAAAAATTTTGACTTGCCAAAAATAATAAAATATATACTATTGATCACTATGAAAATAGTTTAAAATAGTAATGCTTGTATGAGCAGGTGCAAGACTTTTTTTAGATACAATGTATGAACATTTGAACATTGTCTAATTTTTGTTATAGATACTTCTGATGCATCAGCCAATTAAATGCTTGGACATTGGGCAATGTCTGGTGGACACTGTCTGCTAAACATCTGTATCTACATTATATCATGTGGACAATGTCCAGTGACAATCTAAAAGTTTGGACATATAAGCAGACATGAACATTGGACAATGTTCAAATATGTTCATGTCCAAGAAATATATGTGGACAGTGTCCGTGTACAACACTGGTTACAGGTATCCTATTCCAACTGATCGACAGAATGCCGTTATCATAATACTGTCTATATATTATATAGGTGATTATCCAAATTTTACCATCAGTGAGTTTTGAACTCACAACCTACCACTTGGGGGTATAACAACTTATCCACTTCACTAAGTTGCCACACTTATTTAATGTATTTAAAATACTCTTTGTTTAATATAATTAGAATCTTGATAATTTGTATTAATATCATTAAAGACCTCTAATATTAATTCATCAAGATTTTTACTATTAAAAACTACACCATCTGGTAATCTTATAATATCTTTACTAATATCAATATATACAAGTACTTTTCTTTCACTAACTTGTAATAAAAAGTCAACAAAATTTTTTTGTTCAATATTTTCTTATTGTTAAACTCTCATATTAATTGTTAATTTTATAGTTTAAAAATACTTTCAAAGATTAAAAGATTTTAAACATATATTAACAATGTTAATTCTTGTATCTCTAATTACTACAGGTAATATTTGTCTAAAATTGCCACCAAGAACTATAACTTTATCTTCAAAAGATTCATTATTATTTAATAAATTCTTAAAAGTTTTATCAACAGCTTTAAATACAAATCCATTAATTATTGAAGCTTCATCTCATAAAATTACTTTAGTAATTCTAATTAATTGAGCTAATTCAGATTATTTTGTAATATTTAATACTGTAGTTTCAGTTAATTTTAATAGAATTTTAAATCTTAAATAGGCAGTTCTTTTACTATTCATTAATAATACAGCAATTCCTAATGATGCTACAGCAATTGCAATTCTATTTAAACTACTTGATGATCTTATATAAGCTAAGATCATATTATATAAAAATACTTTTTTAATTCCTTTAGGTTCATTAACAAAAAATAATTTTTGATTTATTTTTCTATTAATTGCATTTATAACAGTATTAAATATTAATTTTTGTTAACTATTTAAATTAGATAAATTATTTAAAGTTTGATTAATTTCATCTTAATTATAATTTTCTTTATCTGCAATTAATGTTTGTTATTAATTTTCTTCTAATAAATTATAATTAATTTTTGAAAGTTTTGAAAAATTTATAAGTTCTAATTCATTTTGAATTAAATATTTTTTAATAAATATAATAATTTTTGTGATAGCTAATTCCTTATTATCACCTTTATAAATATAATTTTCAATTAATTTATTTACATATTTATCTCAAAGCTCTTTTAAATTTGCTAGGTGACAGTATACTATAATAGAGACAAATAAATGTCTTAGTTTAAAAAAATTTTTGAATATAACTGCTTCTGATAAACATGCATTACATTCTTTATTATCATCTACTAAATCCAAATGTCTTGCTACTTTTTTAAATGTAGGATATTTAATTCTATTAATTATCTTACAATCTTTAAAATTAGTATAACCTATAGCTTTTTTTAATATAGCTCTTAAGTAAAATCTCTCTTCATCTTTTGGATTAATAAAATATATTTGAAAAATTACTTTTTTACTATTCTTTTTTTTTTTGCCAATTATTATTTTTTCAAATATAATATTTTGCAATATCAATATATCTTAAATTTTGAATCTCTTCAACATCAGGATTATTTTTGTAAAGTTTAAAAAATCTTATTAATTTTGTATATTTTCTTTTTTCTAAAGTTGATAGTATATCACTATTTTTTTCAAAATAAATATTCTGCTGATCTTTCAAATATACTGGAAGTCTTTCAACTTTATATAATCTTTGTTGTAAACCAAAATTAAATAATTTTTAAATTTTTCAGATATAAAAACATATCTTACATTTACAAATTTTTTAATTTCATTTTTTGGATTTATTAATAAAATTAAAATCTTATCTTCTCTTTTATAAATATATTTGTAGAGATATTTAACTGATTTAATACTTGAACATATTTTTACATTAATATAACAATTATATTTTTGACTTAAATATAAATTATAAGAAATAATTCATCTATTATTAATATCAATTGGTATTTCTTTTTTTTAATAATTTTTTTAAAATTTCTTTTTCTATAAGTAGAATATTCATTTTTATTTGTAGTTGTTGTTTCAACAACTTTTCTTGAATAATATTTGCTACATTTTTCATTAATCATACATAGAGAAGATGGATTAATTGTTTTACAGGGTCCATAAATCATATTTTTGTTAACTGTTTCAAATAATTTTGGTTGTAAATCTTTATCAGATATTTTAGCAGATACTATTTAATCAAAATCTTCAGGAGTTTGTAGTTTATCTTAAGATTCTAATATTATTAATATATAAGCATATAGTAAACATTTTTTTTGAAACTCAATTATATATACTTGAGCAACAACTTTTCTAAGAACTTCTTTTATAAATAAATCATATATTATTGCTTTTAATTTGAATTTGAAAACTCTTGTAATTAAATCTAATTTATCAAAAGGTTTTTGATCTGATAAAAGTTCTTTACAAATTTTAGACCATTTTGGATTACATGTTACTGTAATAAATAAATCAGGTTTTCCAAATTCTCTAACAATTGTTATTGTATCTTGATATAATTGTTGAAAATATCTTGTAAATCTTATAAAACTTGATGATAAAATTATTTGTTTACCAATTTGATTAGCATTAGTATCTTCATTATAAATTATATCATTTAATCTATAATATATTTCTGTTCTTAATTTGACTTAATTTTTATATTGCCAAGATAAATTATTTGTTTTTCATTTTATATATTGATCTACTATATATTGTTAAAATAATTTTTCTATAAAATAAAAAATACTTTTTGTTTTATTTAAGTTTCTAATTATAAATCTATATATTGCAAACTCTCTAATAGTAATTGTTTTTTCTTTTTTTTCTTTTTTTGTTGAATCTTTGATAATTTAATCTCTAAATCTTCATCATTAGATTGTTCATTATCATGTGAAAGGCTAGGATAATGATGATCAGACCCAATGTACAGGGCAGAGTATGGTATCTTGCACAGCTGTGAGAGTCAAGTATATGGTGATCGACTCTGTAGAAGACAATTTTAAAAAATCATTTACAACATCTTTAATCTCTAATAATCTTCATACATGCTTTAACAAATTCCTTAATTACTATAATTTACCACTTTTTCCCTATAGTCAAACTATTCAAACTCTAATTCAATATATTAACAAATATAACAATAACAAAACTGTATCTAGTATTACATTTTCTGTTAATTCATCTTATAATGAAACACACATATACCTTCCTAATAATACACTTTTACCAGATTACATTATTATTGTTCTACACCTTCTTCTTTTATTTTACAACCTACTTCTTAGATCTAACTCTTTTAATTCTACTTCTATTATATCAGACCTATTTTTCATTAATCATTCTTTAACCTTTTTTAATCATAATTTTCCTTCATCTTTACCTAATTCAACATTACATCATCTCTATCTTAACATTGTTATATATAATGTTAAAGGCTTCAATGAACCTACCAAAAGAAAAGCCTGGCA